AGATAGATAGATAGATAGATAGATAGATAGATAGATAGATAGATAGATACATGCATGCATACATATATATATATATATATATACACACACACAGTCAGAAATAAAGCTATTTTCTAAACAGTGCCATTTCAGATTTAGGTTTATTTGTCTATTCGGTGCATTTCCATCAAGCATTATCTCACCTTTTCCCACCCCATTAACTCTGCAAGATAGGCTTGACTGAGAGAGGTAGACAGAACAGAGACAGAGAGAGACACTCAGTCGTGGGGGTGGGTGGGTTGCAGAGTATGAAAAAAAGTCAATATGGAAGCCAGAATCGACGTCCTGCCACTTTTTTACATGCTTCAGGAAAGAAGGTTGATTCTTTGACCAGGATGGGCATATTTTTCCACTCCTGGCCTTGGAGGGTCAAGGTGTACTAGAGTGAGGATTCACCTAATGTGAAAGCATCCTCTGGTCCCCTTTCTCCAGTCATCTGAATGGGGCACTTGCAGGGCCCGCTCCTAGCCAGTGAAAATTGGAAGGATACAGTCCCAAAGATAACCAAGGCTCAAGCTATTTAGGGCTTTATACACAAGAACAAGGCTCTTGAATTTGCCAGCAACTAGAGCATCTCCCACTGAGGTGTTATCATTTTTGGCTAAGCTGGTTAGCAAAAGTCAGCAAGAAGGCCAGAGCATTTGCTGAAAATTTCAGCTTCTGAATCATCTTTGGGGCAGTGCCTTGTAAAGAGAACTACAGTAGTCTGACCAGGAGTTGGCAATAGCATGAATCCTTCATTATTGTATATTATAATTGTCCCTTAAAAGAAAAAAGCATACAGAGTTGCTGTATCAGTCAGATGGGCAGCATAGAGATTTAATGAATAAATAAATTTAATATGATTACTGCAAATAATGCAAAATTTATCTTCTCCCCACCCACCCCATTTTCTCCTTGTGCAGGGTGATTCTGGTGGTCCTTTGATGTGCAAAGGGAAACAAAGAGGCATCGTTTCCTTTGGTAAAGGATGTGCAAAGCCTAAGTATCCTGGTGTCTACACCCTTCTGACAAAGGAATATTCTCGTTGGATAAATAGTGTTATTAAAAGCAATTAATAGAATTATCATTTGATGTTGACATTCTTTTTTATTATATTCATTCATTATAATTTCTTTAAGACAATCTTTTCCAGGCTTTTCCCTCCAGATGCATTTGACTAGGCACACAATACTGAGCCAACACAAAATCATTGAGCCGGCCAGCTAAAAGTACCAGCAATTTCAGATAAATTAATCTAGAGGGTAACTGATCAGTTTGGGTATTTAAGTTTTCTATTTGAATGCAATTTTTTTAACAGTTTTCTTTTCTTTTATAAAAGCTAAGCAAAAGTTTCTAGAAATTATTTCTCTTTATTTTTCTCTCTGTGTGTGCACTTAATCTGCTAGATAAAATTATTCCCATGTTTATCACAAATGGAATGGTAACTTATTTCCAGAAAGCAGAAGAAAATAAATCCCTGTTGAAAACCATTTTGTTATTGGTTCTTTTGTTATCGTTGCACATTTGTGCTATGTATCCAGTGTTTTCTTGTGGCAAACTTCAAACTTTTTCTGCATTTGGAAGAAAGAATTTCTGGGCTGGGAATGGCTTTTAAATGCATAACAACATAATTGGACTTCTCTTATAATTGGAGGTCCTTTGTAATTGCAAAATTCCCAGATATACATACATGAGGCCTTTATCATTTGTGACTTCTTATGGATCTGTTCACCACTTTTATGAGTGGCGATGTGAGAGCACTTAAAAGCATTGGAACCACTTGTCTTCTGCAGTTAGAAGTCTTCATCGATCAATCTTTTCAAACAAAGGTTGGACAACCATTTGTCTGATATGATATGAGGCAGGGGATTGACTACAAGAGTAGTTTATCTGTAAGGCATGACATATATGATAAACATACGGTGAGAGGACACCAAGCAACAAGCTCAATTTTTTTTCATGCACTGCTCGGAAGAAAGAAGTCAAGGAGTGATCTTGACTTTTGTTAAGGATTTGGGGAGAAATTAGAACAGAGAGCTGTATGCACTTCCTCCAGGATATGTACAAAAAAAGCCAAATCC